TTACCTCTGCACTGACTGAGGGTCGTCAGTCTTAGCCATTGTAAATGTCCAGCTGGCCACTGTCTTCCAACATTATGGGTTTTTATTTTATTTATTTATTTTTTGGGTCTGGTCGTGGGGCCTGAACTCTGGGCCTGGGCACTGTCCCTCAGCTCTTCAGCTCGAGGCTAGCGCTCTACCACTTGAGCCACAGTGCCACTTCTGGCTTTTTTTTTCTGCTTATGTGGTGCTGAGGAATTGAACCCAGGGCCTCATGCATGCAAGGCAAGCGCTCTACCACTGAGCCACTTTCCCAGCCCCATTGTGGGTTTTATTTATGTTTTACAATGTGTTTGAAAATTAAGTGTAGTTGGATTTGTCAGCTTTTTTCCTTTGGTTTCTGAGTTTCATGTCATGTTTAAAAAGGCTTCCCTCTGTGCTAGGATTATAGAATGTCTTCTACCATCGCTCTTGTGCTCTGTGGTTTTCTAATGTTGGGCCATGTGTGTGCTGACAAGGTTACTTTGCTGTGAGGAGTGAGGAGGGCCTTGCACTGTTTCCCGCTGGTTTAGGTAGATCTCCTATGGCTGCCCAGGCTCAGGGACCCTCCTTGCCGCCACAGCTTCCTACAGGACCTCTTTAGGCTCCGTTTACATTCCTGCTAACTACTCACGCCCGTTCTCTTTGGACCTCTGGCACAGTCCTGCTCCTCGGGGCTGCTCTGTCCGTCTTCCTGGCATTTGGCCACCTGTTGCTCCTCAGGCCTGTGACTCTTGCCTTCTGCCTTTCCCTGGACTGTGTACTCCCTGCTGTGGGGTGGCGTGCCCTGTCTTGTCATCTCCCTAGGAGTGTGGAGATGGAAGACATGCATGATCGGTGTGTCTCTGTGTGGCCTTGGCCCTTCTGTATTACTTCTCTTGACCCCCAGGCTGGAAGTTAGTGTGTGCTTTTCCTCCTCTGGCGCCAGTCTTAGGCCTCTACAATGGCACCTCATGTCTGCCCAGAACAGGGCTCTTTTGTAGTTTGTTTTGTTTTGTTTTTGGGTCCGGTCGTGGGGCCTGAACTCTGGGCCTGGGCGCTGTCCCTCAGCTCTTCAGCTCAAGGCTAGTGCTCTACCACTTGGGCCACAGCGCCACTTCTGGCTTTTTTCTGTGTTGTTTATTAGAGATGAATCTTTTTTTTTTTTTTTTGTCAGTCGTGGGGCTTGAACTCTGGTCTTGGGCGCTGTTCCTGTGCTCTTCAGCCCAAGGCAAGCGCTCAACTGCTTGAGCCACAGCACCACTTCGGTTTTCTAGTGGTTTATTGGAGATAAGAGTCTCACGAACTTTCCTGCCTGGGCTGGCTTTGAACCACGATCCTTAGATCTCAGCCTCCTGAGTAGCTAGGATGACAGGCGTGAGCCACTGGCATCCGGCTTAGAGATGAATCTTATGGCCTTTCCTGCCTGGGCTGGCTTCGAACTGCAATCCTCAGATCTCAGCCTTCTGAGTAGCTAGGATTACTGACGTGAGTCACCAGTGTCCTGTCATTGTTGTTTTTTGTGTGTGTTGTGCTGGAGATTAAATCCAGTGCCTATTGCAGCCTAGGCAAGGCTCACTCTCCCTTTGATGGTTCTTGTACTGGGATTTGAACTCAGGATCTCACATTCTCTGGTCACTAGAGTCACCCATCCAGCCCCGGCTTTTTTTTTTTTTTTTTAGATTATTCCTTATACTATGATATCATACTTTCAACCTTTTTTTTTTTTTAAGAATTTTTATTTTATTTATTTATTTTTTTGGGGGGGTCCAGTAGTGGGGCCTGAACTCTGGGCCTGGGCGCTGTCCCTCAGCTCTTCAGCTCAAGGCTAGCGCTCTACCACTTGAGCCACAGCGCTACTTCCGGCTTTTTTCTTTTTGCTTATGTGGTGCTGAGGAATCGAACCCAGGGCCTCGAGCATGCAAGGCAAGCGCTCTACCACTGAGCCACCTTCCTAGCCCCCCCCCCCCCCCCCCCCGGCTTTTTGATGGGTCATTGATTACAGGAGTTTCTCAGCTGGGCGCTGGTGGCCTGTCATCCTAGCTACTCAGAAAGCCAGATCTGAGGATTTTGGTTCAAAACCAGCCCAGGTAGGAAAGTCCATGAGACTCTTATCTCCAATAAACAACCAGAAAACCGGAAGTGGCGCTGTGGCTCAAGTGGTAGAGCGCTTGCCTTGAGCTGAAGAGCTCAGGGACAGTGCCCAGGCCCAGAGTTCAAGCCCATGACCGACAAAAACAAGAGAGTTTCTCAGATTTGTCTGTCAGGGTTGATTTTGAACTGGGATCTTCGATGATGCTAAGATTATAGGTATAAATCGCTGTGTGCTGAGCTGTTTAGAAACAGGCTCTTGCTATGCTTTCCAGGCTGGTCTTGAAAATTGTTGGGCCTGGGTGACCTTCCTGAATGGGGACCACAGAGTACACCCCTGGTCCCTGCATATTCTTATTTCATTTTTCCCTCCTAAAGTATTGGAATTTGAACTCAGGGCACTACTTGCTTTGCTTGCTTGCTCTGCTAGTGCTCTGTCACTTGATCGATGCCTCCAGCCCACTTCTTGTGAGGTAAGTCTCAGACTTTCCTGCCTAAACTGGTTTTGAACCACGATCCTCAACCTTAGCTTACTGAGTAGCTAGAATTACAGGCGTAAGCCACCATTGCCTGGCTGAGACTCCCACTTTTTTTACTGACTGGTATTGTAAACAAGATAAACTCTTCTGGTTGTAAGTTACAGAAATCAATTCCAGTAAAGTCCCCTGAATGGCTGGGATCCCCACAGGGATTACTTTGTCAGCTGCCCAGCGTGGCCCCTGTGCTGTCATGCTAGAGCCAGGAGGCTCTCCTCATATCTGAGTGCTGCTGCTGTTTGCCCTGTCTGTCCTGTGTGCTGAATGGATTTTAGTAGGAAGCTCCCAGAAAGAGGTGGTAGAAGTATGTGGAAGGGTACATTTCAGGTCTGGCCTGTAGAGGGCGCCCGACTCCTGTCCCACCTTGGTTTTTCTCAGTGTCTTCCCCCCACGCCCCTTAGTTCTTCTGTCTTTTGTCTGGACAGCATACGCTTCTACCTATCGCTTGTCACCGCTTCCGTGTGGATAAAGTGATCTAAGGCCCTTGCAGCTTCCTGCTGCCGGGCTTTAGCGGTATTGTGCATGCCTTGAGGCGTTATGGTGGATGGTTAACAGGACAGTGTGGGTGTAGGCATGGCTGTCGCTGGAGACTGTGGCAGGAGTGGTGGCATGTTGAGAACACTAGGTTTGGGCAGTCAGCTGGGTTGAGTGTGGGGCCTGGGCTGGTGCTGTCCTTTGACAGAGGTCAGCTTTGTCGAGGAGTCACAGAGCAGTATGTTTCTCTGCAGTATGGGTCAGCCCAGGGGTGGCTAAAACGGGTAGAGGTGGGGCCAGTGTCCTTCCGGGCGCTTCCTCCCTACGGGATCCTGCATCCTGATGTAGCTCCCCCAGTCTTGAAGCTGAAAGCATCCTAGATCACCCAGATTCTCAGCTTGACATTCCGGGGAGGCTTGGGGCAGCAGAGGCCCTGCTCAGCCCTTCTCTTGGCCCAGTGTGGTGTGGTGGCCATTTGGTAGGATTCTGCTGAGCCAGCTACTATGTCTTATATGTCTTAATGGCCCAGATAAGTCTTCTCCTTTTTTTTTTTTTTTTGTTGGTTGTGGGGCTTGAACTCAGGGCCTGGGTGCTGTCCTCCAGCTCTTCGCTCAAGGTTAGCGCTCTACCACTTGAGCCACAGCGCCACTTCTGTTTTTTTTTTTTTTTTTTCTGCTTATGTGGTGCTGAGGAATCAAACCCAGGGCCTCATGCATGCCAGGAAAGCGCTCTACCACTGAGCCACCTTCCCAGCCCCTCGTTTCATTTTTTATTGTGTAGGCCAAGGACATGAAATATTTTTTCTTCTACCAGATGATACATGTGTGGATATCTTAAATCTTTACCTTGTCACCAAGGTATGCAAGTGCATGTACTTGACTCTGCTCTGATCTCTCAGGTGGGCTAGGGGCGTCTTCTGGGAAGGATACTGATGATTGAGAGGTGCAGCCCTGTCGGACAGGAGGGTGTTCACCGCGGCAGCAGCCGTAGGCAGGGCTCTGCCATGCCGGTGGCGTCTGGCATCTCCTCCTCAGGTGTCTATGCTAGCAGCTGCCTGAGGCTCCCGCTGGCCTGTCTTAGTGGGGACCCTGCATCTTAGAGAGCGAGAGCAAGATCAGCATCTGGCCTCTGGCCTCAGTAGCCATGGACATGGCCAACAGGAAGTGGGTGCTTCTAGTTCCAACCTTCTTTGTGCCACGTGATCTGCAGAGTCCTTGGGCCCTTGCATGTCTTGACCCCAAGTAGCCTCACACCGGGCACACAGGGCACTCAGTCCAGGCAGGGTAAGCTGTGAAGAGTGGCTCCAGTGTCAGGAGGAACCTAACAGGACTGATGTGGCCTACTCGGAGGAGACGTGGGCTTGGCCTGGATACAGCACGGCCTTTCCTCCTACAGATCTGACCATGAGCGTCCCGGTGACTCCTTCTGGGTGCCGGGTAGGGTACGGTTGTTTCTCACGTACCTCGTGACAGGTGGGTCACCTGCACCAGTGTCAATACAAGTGCAGCTTTTAGTGCAGCCAAGGATGGCTGAAATCCTGAGTGGCTGGCATCTCAATGAGGAGCAGGTGATGGGTGAAGACCCAGGAGGTGGAGTGGGCCATGTCCTTGGGCTATCCCAGCAAAATCCAAAGAGATCTTGTCCAGTCCAGCTGGCCCTGGGGGACAGCTCCATGGGGCTGGGAAGTCCTAGTTCTGCTGTCCAGTTGTGCAGCCTGCAACACAGTCTGGAAGGGGGAGGGGGCTGATAGGCCGTTTTTGCCCTTCCCTGGGTGTGTGCTGTGTTGGCAGGGAGTAAATTGCACATAGGGCAAGGCGCTGAGATGCAGGAGCCAGGGTTCACTGGAGCTCACCTGCCCTGCCCGTGAGCCCGCCTTGATGTGCTTCCTTGTTTACTCCTCAGGTGTGTGGCTGCTGGAAGAGGCGGCTCCCCCAGACATGTCGGCAAGCTCCGTGGCCCCTCTGCTACCTCGCTACCCTGGACACTGGGAGCTGGCCCCAGCCTCATTTTCTTCAGCCACACCTCATTAGTCCTAATGTGCTGATTGGAAGACCATAGGAAGGGGCGGGCATGGGAGCAGAGCAGGCTCCCAGCGGCCCTCAGGGGCCTAGCAGTTGATTGCCTCTGTCTCCCTTCCTCTGGCAGAAGGCCAGGGAGCTGGAGCTTTGTTATCTGGGTAATTTGCTTCAGAGCTTGGACTGAAGCCTCCCAGGTCTTAAGGCCACTTCCTAAAGGCTGTGCACCCTGACCCCAGGAAGGAGGAGAGGAGTTGCAGGTGCACAGCCCTGCTGGCTGAGCAGCTGAGACATCAGGCTTGCCTGGGGAACGGCTGCACCACCCGCTCGCCCTCCTCGCTCGGGCTGTGCTGGACCTGGGTACAGCGTAGGGCCTCCTGACCCAGCCTTGCCAGGGCAAAGGGCACCAAGCCTTGGAAAGGGGATGCCCCCAAGGGTGCCAGTTCAGCCAGCTGCCCCACCCCTCAGGCCCAGCCTGGCCCCCAAGTCCCCCACTGAGGTGCCCCAAGAAGTCCTGTGGGCAGACGTCTCCCACCATGGCCGAGCACCTGGAGCTGTTGGCAGAGATGCCCATGGTGGGCAGGATGAGCACCCAGGAGCGGCTCAAACATGCCCAGAAGCGCCGTGCCCAGCAGGTGAAGCTGTGGGCCCAGGCTGAGAGGGAGGCCCAGGGAAGGAAGGGCCCTGGCGAGCAGTCCCAGAAGGAGGCAGCCGGCCAGGACCAGCAGAAGCAGGTTCTCTTCCCTCCCAGTGTCGTCCTTCTGGAGGCTGCTGCCCGGAGCGACCTGGAGGAAGGTGAGTGTGCACAGTGGGCACTCGCACCATCTGAGCGCCGCCTCATCCCACCTCGGGCTGGAATTGGACCTAGGCCTGTGCAGATCCTGGGATCCAGCCACAGGAAGTCCCAAGGCCCTCCTTTAGACAGTTGCCCTGTGGCGGGACAGTACAGGTCACAGTGTGAGGTAGATGAGGTTGGCAGGGCCAGTCAGCAGAGGATCCTTTAGAAAGACTCCAGTGCTTGCTTAGCTGGTGGCCCTCATGGCCTTCTGCCTGAGGCCCAGCCCCTGTGTGCCTGGATTGGCGCATTGGTAGAGTGGGTTGGTAATACCTCTAGAGGCTGAATTGGGTAGGCTGGTCAGGCCAGGGTGAGGCCCAGAACACACATTGGTTGCTTTTGCTCCAGGCACTTCCTCTGGCTCTTTCCTACATGTTGGAACCTTCCTAGCCCAATGACAGGCGTGATCTGACAGGCCCTGTTGCCCCTCCATTCCCAGGCTTGCAGGTCCCCTGTGTACAAGGACCTGGGGCCAGGACGAACAGGGGTCCCGGTGTCCTTTGCCCTTCTTTCTTCCCTCCGGGACAGAGTGTGAGGAGAGGGCAGTGTCTGGCCAGCAGCCCTTCCGAGAGGCCTAGAGGCAGCGGGGGGGGGGGGGGGGGGGGGGGGGGGGCGGAGGGAGGAACGTGGGGAACTGTGGGAAGAAAGGTGTGTCCTGCTCTATTCGACCTTGACCAGAGTTGAGCCTGAGTAGGCCTCTTTAGGGGCGTAAGGGGATGGGGGATGATGTGTTGCTTGTCACTGGGAAAGAGGAGAGGATGGGCCCTGTGTGGGGCCGGCAGCAGCAGTGGGGTGGGCAGTGACCTGTGGTACTGCTGGTGGCTGCCGCAGGAGGCCTGTTCTGGGTCTGAGTTGGTGGTGCAGTGATGCGGGAGGGTCAGGGGTCGCACTCTCCTCGGGGGCACCTACCCCCCCCCCCGCCTCTCCTCCCCCCCCTCCCGCCTCCCCTCCCCCTCCCTGCCTCCCCTCTCCCCCCCCCGCCTCACCTTCCCCCCGCCTCACCTCCCCCCTCCTCACCTCCCCCCTCCTCACCTCCCCCTGACCCCTCCCCCTGCCCCCCTCCCCCGCCTCACCTCCCCCCGCCTCACCTCCCCCTGCCCCCCTCCCCCTGCCCCCTCCCCCGCCTCACCTCCCCCTACCTCACCTCCTCCCTCACCTCCCCCTCCTCACCTCCCCCCGCCTCACCTCCCCCCGCCTCACCTCCCCCTGCCCCCCTCCCCCTGCCCCCTCCCCCTGCCCCCCTCCCCCCACCTCACCTCCCCCGCCTCACCTCCCCCCCTCACCTCCTCCCTCACCTCCTCCCTCCCCTCCCCCGCCTCACCTCCCCCTGCCCCCCTCCCCCTGCCCCCCTCCCCCCGCCTCACCTCCCCCGCCTCACCTCCCCCTGCCTCACCTCCCCCTGCCCCCCTCCCCCTGCCCCCTCCCCCGCCTCACCTCCCCCTACCTCACCTCCTCCCTCACCTCCTCCCTCACCTCCCCCTCCTCACCTCCCCCTGCCCCCCCTCCCCCCGCCTCACCTCCCCCGCCTCACCTCCCCCTGCCCCCCTCCCCCTGCCCCCTCCCCCGCCTCACCTCCCCTGCCCCCCTCCCCCTGCTCCCTCCCCCGCCTCACCTCCCCCGCCTCACCTCCTCCCTCACCTCCTCCCTCACCTCCCCCTCCTCACCTCCCCCTGCCCCCCCTCCCCCCGCCTCACCTCCCCCGCCTCACCTCCCCCTGCCCCCTCCCCCGCCTCACCTCCCCCTGCCCCCCTCCCCCGCCTCACCTCCCCCTGCCCCCCTCCCCCCGCCTCACCTCCCCCGCCTCACCTCCCCCGCCTCACCTCCCCCGCCTCACCTCCCCCGCCTCACCTCCTCCCTCACCTCCTCCCTCACCTCCCCCTCCTCACCTCCCCCTGCCCCCCCTCCCCCCGCCTCACCTCCCCCGCCTCACCTCCCCCTGCCCCCCTCCCCCTGCCCCCTCCCCCTGGCCCCTCCCCCCGCCTCACCTCCCCCCCTCACCTCCTCCCTCACCTCCTCCCTCACCTCCCCCGCCTCACCTCCCCCCTCACCTCCCCCCTCACCTCCCCCCGCCTCCCCTCCCCCCACCTCCACTCCCCCCCACCTCCCTCCCCCCCCCCGCCTCACCCCCTCACCCTTCTTGTAGTCCTCCAGCTCCTCAAGAGTGGGGTCAGCCCTGACCTGGCCAACGAAGACGGCCTGACCGCGCTGCACCAGGTCAGCCCGTGCGGGGTGGGGGGGCGGGGAGTCGGCCGGGCTCTGGTGCTCAGGGTGCTTGTTTGCAGTGCTGCATCGATGACTTTCAAGAGATGGTGCAGCAGCTGCTGGAAGCTGGGGCTGACGTTAATGCTCGAGACAGTGAGTGCTGGACACCGCTGCATGCTGCAGCCACCTGTGGCCACCTGCATCTTGTGGAGCTCCTCATTTCCAGGTAGGGCCTGCATGGGGCCTGTCAAGAAGGGCCTTCAACACAGATAGCTTCTCAGGTGGTCCTTCTGTGATGCTCCCACTTATCTGCTGATCCTGCCCGGGGCTCCGGGGTGGTGGGAATGCTCAGTGTGGTCAGGGTCCTGCCTGGCAGGCTGGCCTCCCGCTCTGGCCTGAGGACCAGTCTGGGGTCCACATGGAGAAGTGCCATGCTGGTGAGTGCTGAAAGTGGGATCGCTAAGGGAGGAGAGAGAGTGAAGTCTGGGAGAAGGAGCCTGGGCACAAGTGAAGCCCTGAACTCACATAGGGGAGATGGAGAGCAGAGGAGACTGGGGCTTCAGGAGCCTTCCTGTAACCCTGCCTCTCCAGTCACTCGGAGGGGGGAGCTTGGCCCTGTGGCTCCCAGCCGACAGCAAGCAGTGAGCGTCAAACCCCAGACAGCTCCAGCCCTGTTCTCCCTCAGGCCCTGCATACTGCGTAGGTGCATCCGCTGTACTTGGGGCCCGTCCCAGATGGGTCCCGGGAGCCTGGGGCCCGGATGAGTAGAGATGGCAGGATGGGCTGTCTGGATGAAGGACAGGATCTAGTCCTGCCTCCCCAGGACATTGGAAGCCGAGGCCTCTGCAGAGGGAGAACCTGCTGACAGGGCTGGGCTCTGAATGGGGGGCCCTGTCTGTCTGCCCCGCAGTGGTGCGGATCTCCTGGCAGTAAACACTGATGGAAACATGCCTTACGACCTGTGTGAGGATGAGCAGACTCTGGACTGCCTGGAGACAGCCATGGCTAACCGTGGTGAGTGCGCTCTGTCTGTGCCGGGGTGGGCCCCAGCAGCCTCTCTCTGAGCCTGCTGCCCCCTAGGTATCACCCAAGAGAGCATTGAGGAGGCCCGGGCAGTGCCAGAGCTCCACATGCTGGATGACCTCCAGAGTCTGCTGCATGCTGGGGCTGACCTCAATGAGCCCCTGGATAATGGGGCCACGCTGGTGAGGACCTGGCCACATGGAGGGGTCTGGCCCTGGGTGGGTGCTTTCTGCAGAGGGCTGTGGGGCCAGAGTTCAAGGCTGGGTGGCCTTTCTGCAGCTGCACATCGCTGCTGCTAACGGGTTCAGTGAGGCAGCTGCCCTGCTGCTGGAGCACGGAGCCAGCCTGAGCGCCAAGGACCAGGATGGCTGGGAGCCGCTGCATGCCGCAGCGTACTGGGGCCAGGTGAGTGCTGCCACAGGCAGGTGGGTGGCGCCGCCCTGCCCGAGCCCTCAGCAGAGCCCCTGCCTGCCCGCCCGCCCGCCTGCCCACAGGTGCACCTGGTGGAGCTGCTGGTGGCACTCGGTGCCGACCTGAATGGAAAGTCGCTGCTGGATGAGACACCCCTCGGTGAGTGTGAGGCCTGCCCCGCTACCAAGGGGCGACGAGACGGGGAGGGGCTCCTGTGACCTCCCCCTCCTTTCCTCAGACCTGTGTGGGGACGAGGAGGTGAGGGCGAAACTCCTGGAGCTGAAGCACAAGCAGGACGCACTCCTTCGAGCCCAGGGCCGGCAGCACTCCCTGCTGCGCCGGCGGACCTCCAGTTCAGGCAGCCGTGGGTAAGCCTCCCAGGGCAGATGCTGGCTGCCCTCCCCCCTGCCTGCCTCCTCCCCCTGACCACCCCTCCCCCAGCTGCCTCCTCCTCCCCCCTCCCCCCCCGACCACCACCCCTCCCCCCACTGCCTCCTCCCCCTGACCTCCCCCGCTGCCTCCTCCCCCCTGACCACCCCCCACTGCCTCCTCCCCCCTGACCTCCCCCGCTGCCTCCTCCCCCCTGACCTCCCCCCACTGCCTCCTCCCCCGACCACCCCCCACTGCCTCCTCCCCCCTGACCTCCCCCCACTGCCTCCTCCTCCCCGACCCCCCCCTGCCTCCCCTCTGACCACCCTCCCCCGACTGCTGACACCCCCCCCCCGACACCCCCCCCCCCCGCCTCCTCCCCTCTGACCACCCCCTGGGACGGACCAGCTCTGCTGGAGCACTGGGACCAACCGACGGGACAGGGATCTCTGGATAGGTGGGCAAGGAGTGGGCGAAGAGACAGACACAGACTCAAAAGAGTTGCATCTGAGTGTATCTTTATTGAGGAGAATTAACATTTTTTATTTTTATTTATTTATTTATTTATTTTGGGTCCGGTCATGGGGCCTGAACTCTGGGCCTGGGCGCTGTCCCTCAGCTCTTCAGCTCAAGGCTAGCGCTCTACCACTTGAGCTACAGCGCCACTTCCGGTTTTTTTTCTTTTTGCCTATGTGGTGCTGAGGAATCGAACCCAGGGCCTCAGGCATGCAAGGCAACCTTCCCAGCCCCGAGAATTAACATTTTTATACAGTGTGTGATTGTGACATAGATTGTTTATTTAAGCACGTAATCAGTTTTTTAAAAAGGCAAAGCATTGATGAATTACATGAAAATTGATGACTATCCCACCAACTGTTTAAGCTAAGTGGTGTGAAACAAGTCTAGCATATTGTTTAATAGAATGTGTCATCTATTTAGCCTTTAACAAACCTAAGACAGGGCTGTACTTATGTTGTACTCTTTTTATTTTTATTTTTATCCAACTATTTTCATCTTTATAAGCTCCTGTATAAGAAAATGGTTCTTGGTTGGTTCAGGAAATATGATGTTACTAACTTTATATTTTGTGTGAAACCACCGTCTATTCCCTATAATGTAAGTTGGACTAAACTTAATCATAACTGTTGGGAGAATCTTTCTTTTTCTTTTATAATCAGAGGTCTTTTTTTTTTTTTAGAACTCTCTGAACTACTGGGATAACTCTTTCTAACTTAGTTTAATTCATTGATTTTGTCTGTTGGACATAGCTGGTAATTTTAAGTCTCTATATTTACAATGCGTGAGCCGCAAAACCGCTTGTGAAGTTGTAGGAGTTTCTGGAGGCAACGTCCCAACAGATGATAGATTGATTGGGGCATTTCCCACATTTAATCTTTGGTCTTAGTCTTTATTATTTAGAGAAGCCGTCTCTATTGGACTGGAAAGATACAACATGCTCTGTTCGCAGATCAATAGAAAAATAGCCAAAATAAGAATAAAGGCAACGAATGTAAAGCCAAGAAGAATATAGTAAGAATAAAGGTAGAGGCTATAAAGGTGCAGCCAAGTGTATGGGAAGCCTTGAACCAACACCCCCTTCCTGCAGGCATGCTTCCTTGAAGCTCTTTGTCTAAGGAGATCTCTCAGGCAGACTCCGTAGGAGCAGGAGGTGGCGTGGCTACCCCCCCCCCCCCCCCCCCCCCGTGACTGCCTCTTCCCCCCCCACCCCACCCCCACTGCCTCCTCCCCTCTGACCACCCTCCCTGACTGCCTCCTCGCCCCTGACCACCCTCCCCCCACTGCCTCCTCCTCCCTGACCCCCCCTGACTGCCTCCTCCCCTCTGACCACTCTCCCTGACTGCCTCCTCCCCCCTGACCACCCTCCCCCCGACTGCCTCCTCCCCTCTGACCCCCCTCTTCCCTTGACTGCCTCCCCCCCCCCCCCACTGCATCCCTGTGAGCCCCAGAAGCACTCCCAGGAAGCTGTGACCTCTCCTACCCTTTCCTATCTCCCTCCCACCCAGGAAAGTAGTAAGGCGAGTGAGCCTGACCCAGCGCACAAACCTGTACCGCAAGGAACACGCCCAGGAGGCCATTGTGTGGCGGCAGCCACCACCCACCAGTCCTGAGTCACCTGAGGAAGACGAGGACCGTCAGACAGACGCTGAGCTCTGCCTGCAGCACCCAGAGGTGAGCGCTGTACCTCTGCCCTGCCGGCTGTGGGGAGAGCTTGGCGGTCCGCCTGGCTGTGGTCTGGCGGTACTGGCCCCTTGTGGAGGACTGTGGCCTTGCATTCCAGAGGGGCTGGTGTGCCCCAGAGGTGGCTGCTGCTGACCGGCCTACCACCCCTCCATGTCCACTCCATCCCTCCTGGAACCCGAGGCTGGGGCAGGTGAGGGGTACCACCTCCTCATGGCCTCTGAGGCCCTGGCTTTGCCCACAGGAGGACCCTAAGGACCCCAAGCCTGCCGGGACACACAATGGCCGCGCAGGGCTCCCCCCAGGAAGGCACCTGTACTCCAAGAGGCTGGACCGGAGCGTATCCTACCAGCTGAGCCCACTGGAGAGTATCGCTCCTGATGCCGCTGTCCGGGACAGGACTCACCACACCCTGGCACAGCTCAAGCGTCAGCGAGCTGCTGCCAAGCTGCAGCGGCCAACCTCCGAGGGGCCTCAGGTCCCCGTGGTCAGCCTGCAGGACTCTGAGAACTCTCAGCCTGATGGTGGCCCCAGGGCCGTGGGGGACCCACCTCTGCTCAGGCTCACAGCCCCCTCCGAGGAGGCCCCTGTGGAGAAGAGGCCATGTTGTCTGCTCATGTGAGGGGCTGAGGGACCCCCCGGCCGCTGCTCTGGAGCCCCCCGGGGGGATGTCCCCGGCCGCTGCTCTGGAGCCCCCGGGGGGGGGGGGGACCCCTGGCCGCTGCAGGGCGTCCCCTGGTGCTGCTCTGGAGCCCCCCGGGGGGGCGTCCCCTGGTGCTGCTCTGGAGCCCCCAGGGGGGGGGGGACCCCTGGCCGCTGCAGGGGACGGCCAGCACAGCGCCTCTCCTGGCTCCGGCTGCCCTCTCAGGGATGGACCTGTGGGCTCGAAGGCCGCAAAGGCCGTTTGTCCTGAGACTTGATAAAGGCTGCCTACCCCCAAGCCTTCCTGTGTGTCTCTGGGGAGGGGCAGGTGGTGCATCTGGGTTAGGGGCCTCCATGCCTGTGGGTGCATGCTAGGGCTTGCAGGAGGCAGCGCATGTGTGGGAGAACTTTAGACACAGGCGAGAAGCTTAGTCTCCATCCACACCCTCCCTGGCTGCAAGCTGCTTCTTGTAGGCTCCTTTGTAACTCTGCTTTCCTGAGGACAGCAGGGGACTTTAGAACCAGGGCTGAAGGTGACCAAACAGAATAGGGACTCCAGCCTGCCAGTGTTTCTCACAGGACTCTTGGGTCGGACAGCGAGCGGAACAGGAACAGGGCCATCGCCAGACACTTCCCAGGGGGATGGGTCCCCAGCCTGGCGTGCAACGCGACCTCGGGCCTGCTGCCGCCTCAGCCGCCCAGCCGCGGTGGCACAGGGGACAAGCAGCCGGCCACTCGGGCATGGCTGGCTGGCATAGTGTGGCCCCTTCGGGCCTCAAGCTGGAGGGCCGGTCACCTTCCGGGTGCCCAATGGATGAGCTGCCATCTTGCCCTCTGAGCACCGGCCGGTCAGCCCTGGGGCCCCTCCCGCCTTCCTCAACCGTTGGAGGATTGGAGACCTTGGCAGTTCTCGGGAAGGGCCAGGGGCTGGCTGCTGGCTAACTTTAGAGAGGGGTGGTGCAGCTGCCAAAGGTCTGCCTGCCACCAAAGCTGCCAGAGAGCGGCGGTGGCTGGCCCTGCCTGGGCTCAGCCCGGAGTAACCTATGTCCTGGCCTGAGGACAGGAGAGGCAGGTCAGTGGGCTGGAAGGCTGCCAGGAGGTGCCAGGTGAGAGGGAGTGTGTCCGTCCGTCCATGTGTCCCCCAGGCCCCCCTCAGGGCTCTGCATGTTCACTCTCCAAGCCTGGAGGGGCAGGTGGCGCGGCCCAGGGCTCATCTTGGATTTGACCAGTTGCCTGCTGCATGGCTGAGCTGAGCGGCCTGGCTCCCTGATCTTCAGGAATAGATGCAGCCTGCGGCCTTGGTAGCCAACCCTCCTGGGGATTACTAGCTCCCTGCAGGGCCAGCAGAGGTGGGGCTGTGAGGACCAATCATAGCTCACTTCCTGCTCCCTCAGCCAATCAGGAATGAAAGAGAAGGGTATCTTAGGTTATGTCTGGCAGGCGTAGCCCTGGGGCGCTGCATTGAAAGGGCATGTGGGCAGTCCAGGGTGAGTTGTCTGAAGGTCCAGGGTCAGCCTGCCTTGTCTCCAGTCCCCTGCCCCTCCTCCCAACCCCTTGTAGTGCTGATCTGGGACCAAGGTCCAAACTATAGCACCCTTGCAGCCTTCAGGCATGGCTGCCAACTGGGTAGAGCCGGGTGGGAGCTTTCTGCTCTCCTCCCCCAGGGTCTTAAGGCCTGTCTCAGTTTCCTAGGAGAGAGGTTGGCTGGCTCAAGCAAAGACAGGAGGTGAGAAGTCCTGGCCTCTGCTGGGCCCTGCTGGGTAGATCTCCAGCAGCCCCTGGCCCCCATTCTCGCCTTGGGGGCCATCCTGGCACCTCCTCCCACCCTGCTGAGCTCTCAGGCCCACTGGCCCCAGTGCTGAGCTCCCCCCTCTCCTGCCCGTGCGGGTCTCCTGCTCCCCTATCACGGGGACTCTGAGAGGTTCTGGGCCTCACCCCAAGCCCCGCCCGCTGCCTCACCCACTCCCTGTGGCTCCCGAGGGCAGAGCTGTGCCTGGCAGTTGGGGTTGGCCCGGGCTGCTTCAGCTCCTCAGTCCTTTCCCTTTCAGCGGGGGCCACAGGCTGCTGTGAAGAGGCTGCCGTCTTGAGTGCCTGCACCAGGGATCCCTCCTCCCCTCAGGTCTGGCTCCTTCCCTGCTGCCCCTTGAGCAGAGCCATGGCTCTGAGGGAAAGTGATCGAGGCCAAGCTCCAAGGAAGGGGCTAAAGGAGAAGGTGCTGACACTGGACACTATGAACCCGTGCGTGCGGAGGGTGGAGTACGCAGTGCGCGGTCCCATACTGCTGCGAGCCTTGGAGCTGGAACAGGAGTTGCGTCAGGTATGAGCTTGGGCCCCATGCTATCATTCCTGTGCTCCTGGGCTACTGAGTTTGCCCCAGGCCATGTGGGGTCTAAAAGCTGTGAGAGTGGTAGACAATATGGCTTCCTGCTCCTCTTGCAGGGTGTGAAGAAGCCCTTCACGGAGATCATCCATGTCAACGTTGGGGATGCACAGGCCATGGGGCAGAAGCCCATCACCTTCCTGCGCCAGGTGAGGCCGCTGTGCTTCTTGTCCCGTCCCGGTCCTGCCACCCCCCCCCACACACACACCCTGACCTCAGCACTCTGTTGCCCTAGGTCTTGGCCCTCTGTGTTCACCCAGCTCTCCTGAGCAGCCCTGACTTCCCAGAGGATGCCAAGAGCAGGGCTGAGCGCATCCTGCAGGTGTGTGGGGGCCACAGCATAGGTGAGTGCCGGCACCAAACTGCATCCAAGCCCCAGGGCTCCTCGCAGGGCTTGTAGAGGGCCCAACCTTGCTCTACACTCCCCGAGTCTAGGAGCCTATAGCATCAGCTCTGGCATCCAGATGATCCGAGAAGATGTGGCCCTGTACATCGAGAGGCGGGACGGAGGCATCCCTGCAGACCCCAACAACATCTTCCTGTCCACAGGGGCCAGCGATGCCATTGTGGTAGGCTGGGCAAGGGCGTGCAATGCCCAGCTTGGCTCAGTCTGGTCTGGCTGCAGCTGCCCGCAGCGGGAGATGGGTGCAGACCTGGTCCAAACAGTCCATGCTGTCCGTCCTTCTCGCAGACGGTGCTGAAGCTGCTGGTGTCCGGCCACGGCTGCACGCGCACTGGAGTGCTCATTCCCATCCCCCAGTACCCGCTCTACTCGGCCGCACTGGCTGAGCTGGATGCTGTGCAGGTGGACTACTATCTGGATGAGGAGCATGCCTGGGCGCTCGACGTCTCCGAGCTGCGGCGTGCCTTGCGCCAGGCCCGTGACCACTGCCACCCACGCGCACTCTGCATCATCAACCCAGGCAACCCGACTGGTGCGCTGCCCCTGCCCCTGCCCCTCCCTTCCTGGTCACTGTCCCTTGGACCTGAGCTGTGCCCGAGTGACGGCAGTGCTGCTGTACCCATACCCCAGGGCAGGTGCAGACCCGAGAGTGCATTGAGGCCATTATCCGCTTCGCCTTTGAGGAGGGGCTCTTCCTGATGGCTGACGAGGTGCGCGCTGGGCACGCTGAGGCGGGGTGGCAGCCAGGCAGCCAGCCTGGTGACCGCAGTCCCTCCGCAGGTGTACCAGGACAACGTGTACGCCGAGGGCTCGCAGTTCCACTCCTTCAAGAAGGTGCTCATGGAGATGGGGCCGCCGTTCGCAGCGCAGCAGGAGCTCGCGTCCTTCCATTCCGTCTCCAAGGGCTACATGGGCGAGTGCGTGTGGCCGGGTGGGAGGCTGCAGGCCTCTCTCTTGGGCCCTGCTCAGTGTCCGCCTGCCCGGCAGGTGTGGGTTTCGTGGTGGCTACGTGGAAGTGGTGAACATGGACCCCGAGGTGCAGCGGCAGATGCAGAAGCTGCTGACCGTGCAGCTGTGTCCACCAGTGGCTGGCCAGGCCCTGGTGGACATGGTGGTCAGTCCACCTGCCCCTTCCGACCCCTCCTTTGCACAGTTCCACGCGGTGAGTGGTGGCGGCGAGGGCCAGGGCGGCTCAGGGTGCCGTGTTCCCAGATGGCCGCGATCACCCCCTCTGTGGCTGCAGGAGAGGCAAGAGGTGCTGGCCCAGCTGGCAGCCAAGGCCAGGCTCACTGAGCAGATCATCAACAGCACTCCGGGGCTCCGCTGCAACCCGGTGCAGGGTGCCATGTACTCCTTCCCGCGAATTGAGCTGCCCCCACGCGCCGTGCAGCGTGCACAGGTGGGTGCAGGGCTGGCAGGGGCAGGGAAGAACAAACGAGACTCTCAGCTGACCTGTGCCTTCTGCACCCCCACTCCAGGAGCTGGGCCTCGCTCCAGATATGTTCTTCTGCCTGTGCCTCCTGGAGGAGACCGGCATCTGCGTGGTGCCCGGGAGCGGCTTCGGGCAGCGGGAAGGCACCTACCACTTCCGGTGAGGCTCAGCCCAACAGTCGGCTCCTGGCCACTGTGCCTCTTGGCTTACCATTGGCTCCTTTCAGGATGACCATCCTGCCCCCCATAGAGAAGCTGCGGCTGATGTTGGAGAAGCTGAGCCATTTCCATGCCAAGTTCACTAGCGAGTACTCCTGAGGTCACTGCCCTGGCCTGAACACGGTTCCAGGGCCCCTGGAGCCTCAGGAGCCCGCAGTCCTGGCTTTGCTTACAGGCTGGGCACCGGACTCCGGCTCTCTAATAAAGCTGGATGCTATTCTGACTCTGGATGCAGTGTGTCCACTGATCTGCTGAGGGCAGCCTCTGGCCTCTGAGCTTGGGACTCCACCGCAGGGACTCGGGGCTGCTCTCTGGAGGAGCACTCAAGGAGGGCTTCCAGAGTGGGATCTTCTCAGCTAGTCTCCACCCAGTCGTCTGAGAGACAGGCCACCTCCATGAGCTGGGTCTCCTTCCCACTGGGTACATGGGAACCCATTCAGATAAAAATAACTGACTGGTAAGGAGTGTGAGGGCAGGAAGGGGCACCTGTGCCCCCTGGGGCTGCCTAGTGAGTCAGGAGGAGAGGGTCACAGGGGATCCTGTGACAGGGGTCCCAGAGGAGCAACATCAAAAACAACTGTCATCCTACCTACTCAGGAGGCTGAGATCTGAGGATCACAGATCAATGCCAGCTCAGCAGGAAAGTCCCTGAGAACTCTTACCTCCAATTAACCACCAGAAAAATGGAAGTGGTGCTGTGGCTCAAGTGTTAGAGCACTCACCTTGAGCTGAAGAGCTGAGGGACAGCACCCAGGCCCAGAGTTCAAGCCCGATGACAGACGGACAGACAGACAGACAGACACACACACACACACAAACACACACACACACACAACAGGCTGGGTCCTGGTGGCTCTCGCCTGTAATCCTACCTATTCAGAAGGTCAAGAGCTGAGGATTGTGGATCAAAGCCGGCCTGGGCAGGAACTTCCATTAGATTCTCATCTTCAATTAACCATCAGAAAATCAGTAGAATTGTGGCTCAAAGTGGTAGAAAGCTAGTCTTGAGCAAAAAGATAGCACCCAGGCCCTGGGAAAACAAAAAAGAAGCCAGCACTTCCCTGTGCTGACCCACAGGACAAAGCTGCTGGCCCAGTTTCTACCTGGAAGCAGGGAAGTCATTTTGTGGCCTAGGGACAGCGAAAGCGATAGAGGGAAGAACAGCCCAGGGGAGGGAGACGTGAAGGCCTGTTGTAGGCAGAGCAGACATGCTGCAGGTCACCCCGGTGGACACGCTGACCCCATTGATTCACAGATTTATTTCTAATTGTGCTAGGGTTGACCTGGGGCTGACTGCCCTTTTTATTCACTTTGGGCTGGTCCTGTGGCTTGAACTCAGTGCCTGGGTGCTGTGTCCTAGCTTTTCCATTTAAGGCGCGCTCTGTCACTTGCGTTACAGCTCCACTTCTGGCTAATTGGAGATAAAATCTCGTGGACTTTGCTGTTTTGGGTGGTTTTGACCTGCGATCCTCAGATCTCGGCCTCCTGGGTTGCTATGATTACTGGCATGAGCCACGGTGCTCCCTCCCATTGCTTTTTTTTTTTTTTGGTATACCAGTCCTGCCTGAGCTGTTTGCTCAAGGCTAACACTCTACCACATGAGCCATAGCTCCACTTTTGGCCTTTTTTAGTTTGAGTATCATGGACTTCCCTGCCCAGGCTGGCTTTGAACTGCTGTTGTCAGTGGCCTGAGTAGTCAGGAGTACAGGCTTGAGCCATGGGTGCCCAGCTACCAATACCTTCTATTTTGAAGCCGGGTCTCTCCCTAATCGGGCCATGGACTTGTAATTCTCCTGCTCCCAACCCCTGATATTTGGACCTGTGGGCAAGAGTCCCATTTTATAGATAAGCAAGCTCAGCTCTGAGAATAGGTGTGTCAACACCACAGTGACTCAGCAACCATGGGAGGGCACGGACTTTCGTGTCTGCCAGAATACTTGGACCTGGCAGCTGGCCAAGGTCCCAGTGCTGCTCCTTTGTAGGTCCTCCCCCCCCCGTCCATTTCACCCCATCACCATTTTGGAAGTGCATTTTTTGTTGGTTGTAGGGCTTGAACTCAGGGCCTAGGCACTGTCCCTAAACTTCTTTGTGCTCAAGGCTAGTGCTCTACCACTTCTCATTTTTGAGCAATTGGAGATGTCTCATGGGCCCTTCCTGCCCGGGTGATTCAGATTTCAGCCTCCTGAGTAGCTAGGATGATGGGCATGAGCCACCGGTGCTCATCTGGAAGTTTTCGGGGTTTTTGGTTGATTGTGGGCCTGGGCACTGTCCCTCAGCCCTGCAGCTCAAGGCCAGTGCTCCACTGTTGAGCCCAGCGCCTCTTCCGGTTTTCTGGTGGTTCATTGGACATAATAGCCTCATGGACTTCTCCCACCTGGGCTGGCTTTGAACCACGATCCTCAGATCGCATGCTTCTGAGCAGCCTGGATGCGGTGTGAGCCGCCGATGGCAGCTGCTGTGGACTTCTCTCCAGATGGAGGAAGGCCGGCCTGGCCCGAGGCCTTTGTGAGCCTCGCCTGGCTGTGGCACCGGCCGGCTTGGTCCGACCTTCCGACGTCCTCCACCTCCCGGGCCCTCGGGCCACCGCCTGGTGGCCCAGGAGGAGCAGGGCCGGGGCGCTGGGCAGAGGCCAGCGGCTGAGGGCAGGGCCACCCGGAGGGGTGACCCTTCTCCTGGCGGCCACGGTGCCCCGGCCGGCCGCTGGGGGCGCCCGAGGGCCGGCCGAGCGACGCTCTGCGCGCGGCGGTCTCTGTGGTCCTCCAGCCGGCCACCGTCCAGGTGTGCGGTGCGCCCGGCGGACCAAGGGCAAGGCCGCAGCTCCCGCGGCCGGCCGGGCCCGCGGGGGCCCTGCGCGGACCCCCGGCGCCCGCCCGCCTGCCCACCATGCGCGGGAAGCTGCTGCCGCTGGCCGGCCTCTACCTGGTGCAGGGCCTCCCGCACGGGCTGCAGTCCGGCCTGCTGCCCGTCCTGCTGCGGGCCCGCGGCCTGTCCCTGGCGCGCGTGGGCCTGGCCAGGGGGCTGCACGCGCCGTGGCTGCTCAAGCTGGCCTGGGCCCTGCTGGTGGACAGGTGGGGCTCCCCGCGGGCCTGGCTGGCGCTCAGCACGGCGGCACTGGGCCTGCTGTGCGGGCTGCTGGCTGTGGTGCCCCCCGCCCCAGCCGGCCGGGCCGACCTCCCCGCCGCTGCGGTGGGGCTGCTGCTGCTGCTGAACCTGGGCGCAGCCGTCCAGGACGCGGCCCTGGACGCGGCGGCCGTGCGGCTCCTGGGGCCGGGGGAGCTGGGACCGGGCAACACCGTGCAGGTGGTGGCTTACAAGCTGGGGTCAGCGCTGGCTGGTGGGGGGCTGCTGGGCCTTCTGCCCAGCCTGTCCTGGCCTCTGCTCTTCATGCTGCTGGCCACTACCTACTGGCTGGCCGCCGCGCTGGCCTGGGCTGCGCCAGCTCTGCGCGGGCTGCCCCGGCCTCCGCCCTCGGGGCCCTCCCACCCCCCGCGGGACGTGATGGCAGTGCCTGGGACCTTGTGGACAGCAGGCTTTGTACTCACCTACAAGCTGGGTGAGTGAGTCCCCAGGAGCTCTGGGCCCACAGAGGGGCTGCCCTCCTTCTAGGGCCTCGGCTTGGCACCCAGGCCTTGCCTCTTGTTCTCACTAACCTCCGCTCGCAGCCTTGGAACTGTTCTGGTGTTGCTTCCCAGTGATCCCGGGCTTGACCAATGCCTACTGCCACTTCTCTCCCAATGTGTGGCCCCCTAAGACGAGGCAGAGTAGGAGTTTGGCAGGTATGGAGACCTCCCTTGCTTATGGCTTCTTGCAGGTGAGCAGGGTGCTGGCAGCCTGTTTCCACTTCTCCTGCTGGACCGAGGAGCTTCTGCCCCGGAACTGGGGTTGTGGAACGGCTTTGGTGCCGTGGTGTGCTCCATTGCTGGCTCTGCCTTGTGTGGGGCCCTCCTAGCCAGGCACTGGTGAGCCCTCCCCAGCCAGCCGGCTCGCTCCCTTTCCTACCCCTACCTGGAATCCGGACCTGACCCAATTCCCACCCTCACCCTAGGCAGCTACTTTCCCTGCTCAAGTCAGTGCTATGGCTACGGCTTGGGGGCCTGGCCTGCCAGACGGCCCTGCTCTACCATTTGGACGCCCCAGGGGCCAGCCTGGCCACTGGCACGGCCCTGAGCAGTAAGCCGCCACCCTGGGGGAGGGTGGGGAGGGGCCGGGAACCCTGGGCACTGCTGACCTCCGCCCTCCCAGGAGTGGCCTTGCTGAGCCTGTGTCTGCAGCATTTCCTGGGGGGCCTGGTCACCACAGCCACCTTCACCATGATGATGCACTGCAGCCAGCTGGCACCCAGGACGCTGCAGGTAAGCAGATGTGGCAGGGACACCTCAGGGCTTCACGGCTGGGAAGCCACGAGGCCCTCACCCAGGCTCCTTCCCATAGGCCACACATTACAGCCTCCTCGCCACCCTGGAGCTTCTGGGCAAACTGCTGTTGGGTGCCCTGGCTGGAGTGCTGGCCGACAGCCTTGGCCCGCATCCCTGCTTCACTCTCTTCCTTACACTCTCAGTCCTACCTCTTCTGGGCCTGGGCCTGGCACCCAGCACCCTGGCCTGAGTCAGATCACAGAACTGCCAATAAATCCCCACGCGCATGGCTTCGTGTCTGGAGCATTATGAGATGCAACTGACTTTGCTTTATTCCCGGCTTCTCCTTGGGTGGAACCCTACTGGCTAGGCACTTGTGAGCCGTCCCCAACCAAATCTGCTCCTCCCACCCCCACGCCGGGATTGCTCTCCTCTGACCAAATTCCCACCCTCACCCTAAGCAGCCATTTTCCCTATTAAAGTCAGGGCCGGGGTTAGGGCCTGAGGGCCTGTCCTGCCAGATTGAGGGTTGTCATCAGAAAGAAGGGCCTGTAACATCACTGTGTGTTTTATTCTGCGTTTTGGAGCCTTCTTGTCCCACCAATGCTGGTTTGTTTTGTCTAGTGATTACTGTCCTGGCCACTGAGGGCCACTGTTGTCTTGATGAGTCACACGCCTGACACCTCCGTGGAGTGGCCACAGAGCCCAGGCTGTGTCATGTCTGTGGGGCAATGCCCCCTGTGCAAGGCGGTCACCTGTCCCTCACCAGAAGCTCCTCTGTGGCTAAGCGCATCACTGCACGGAAGCTCACGTGCAGGTACTTTCTCCAGAAGCGTCGGTCCCGCCCATAAACCTGGGCTGGATAGCAGGGGCTTCCTAAGGGGGAGCAGAGACACAGTCTGACTGGGTTGGTCCCAGCCACCGGTCCCTGCCCTGCATCTGGAGGCCTCTCGTCCTCACCAATGCCATGGAAGATACGGGCCACAGCCCGACCTGAAAAGCTTTGCTCTGGCCACAGTGACAGGAGCTGACGGGTGTCTCGGCGGATCTGGTCTTCCCAGTCCTGGACCTGTGGGCGGGCGGCACACCATCTCCCTGGAGCTCCCAGCCAAGCTTGGAGCAGTCTAGGAAGCCTCAAGCCAGAGAAGGCAGGGGTCAGACTATGGGGTGCAGTGGGTCTGCTGCTCCCCGCTGCCTCAGCAATCACCTTCAGAGGGACTACGCTCACCTGCGCTTGCCCGGGCTCTGAGCCCTGCTCTTCCTCCACACCCTCCTCTTCCTCTTCCTCAAAATAGTGGCTGATGAGGGCCTTTAGTCCGGTGTTGCGCTCCTGGTCCGGCTGCTCCAGACAGGGCCCACAGTTGGGGAAGGCCACGCTGGGGGTGGGACACACCTGTCAGAACTGCTCCGGGATCAGCGTGGCGCCCCCCCGCCCCCCCGGGTCCTCCCCACCTGTGAAAGGTCTCGAAGATCCGGCGCAGATGGGCCAAGGCCTTGCGCTCCCGGGCCTGCACACAGTTATGTAGGAAGTCGCAGATCTGGTCCTTTTGCTCAGCTGTCAAGTCTCCAGGGCTACGCAGGTGAAAGGCCAGCTCCCTGAACTCCACAAGCACTCTGGTGTCCCGCAGCGTATCTGTTAGAAAGTGTGTCAGACGTAGGTGGTGGGCAGGGGACAGGCCGAGCCCAGGGTGGGGGAGGGGTAGGCACACCTGTCCTTGGCCCGGGGTCCCGCTGCAGCTGGTAGAGAGCCCGCTGCACAGAGACCAGCTCCCAGCCCATGGACTCCACGAGCTCCACCACGTCCAACTGCAGGGAGCAGCTGCCCCCACGTGCGTCCTCAGGCGGCCACCTGGCCCAGCATGCAGCCACAAGAGGAGACCTGGCCGGGGAACCTGAGATATGGTTAAGAGTCCTGGTCCTCTGCCCTCAACCTCAATGGGACGGGGTGTGCTCACTTGTGGGCCAGGTGGGCCAGCTGGGTGCGGCCCCCAGGACAACGCAGGTGACACTGAGCGTAGACGGCTGGCAGCAGCTCCAGCCAGCGCTGGGGGTGCAGCTCCAGATAACACAGTAGAGTCTCAATGGCTGTGGGCAAAGCAGGGCTCAGGGCGCCTGGGGAAGGCCCCTCCATGCACCCCCCATCTCCCTGGCCCCTCACCCTCCTCCGGCAGGTCCAAGGCCTGCACCATCGGCTGCACTGGGAGTGCCCGCTCATGGCCTGGGCATGCTGGTCCTGGCACACGAGCTGCTTGTTGGCCACTGGGCCTGGACTTCGAAGGAGAGGACTCGGCCACAGGCCTCACGCCGGCGATAACCTCGGCTTGCTCTGGGGGCAGCCAAGGGCAGGCACAGGGTGGGAATACCCGCTGCACCAGCTTCTTCACAGCCAGGAAGTCGGTGCTGGCGGCGTGCACGTGTCTGCGCAGCTCCTGCAGGTCTTCACCCTGAAGCAGGAGAGTCACGTCCAGTCAGCACCTGGGGCTGGTCTGGAACAGTGGGAATAAGGCAGCAACCAGAGCCCACGTGGTACGGGGGGAGGGCCGGCATCCAGGGTTGTAGTGGTGGGGTGCCCACCTGGGGATGCAGAAATAAGTGGCAGTGTGCGGGCTGTCCATCGCGGCCGGCGCGCCCTACCGCCTGCACGTAGCTCTCGAAGCTGGGGGGCAGTCCCAGGTGCAGCACAGCCCGCACGTCTGGCCGGTCCAGCCCCATCCCAAAGGCCACGGTGGCCACCACTACACGCAGCTGGCCCCGCATGAAAGCCCGCTGCACTCGCTTCCGCTCCCGGCTGCACATGCCAGCGTGGTATGCTTCAGCCACAGCTTCAGGGGCCTGACCTTTGGGCAAGGCGGACTGTGGTTAGTGGGCCCCGGCAGGCTGTGGCAGGCCCCGACCGCGCCTTTGCTCACCTCTAGGTCCTGGGCCTCTCTCCACACACAGGCATGTCCTAAGGAGCGCAGCAACTCTCTCTGTAGTCTCACGTCGGTTGCAGTAAACAATGACGGAATCCAGGGAACGAAAACGGTCACTCTGTAGTAGTGTCACCAGAGCCTGACGGAGAGCAGTAGGTGGGCACAGGAGGAGAAGCCTCTGTCCCAGCTCCTGGGGTGTGCTTGTTTACCTGTTCTGGGTCTCTGTCCATGGACACGGAGAGATGCAGGTTGGCGGGGATGGGGGGCGACGTACGGACGAGGTCAAGGTCTTCCGAGACACCCAGGTGCCAGGCCACATCACGGGCCGTGCCACGCGTGGCCGTGGCCGTGAGACCCAGGAAGCAGCGCACACCCAGCTGCTCCCGGAGCACCTGGGGCGGGAGCCACAGTGAGGCGCTCCCGCATCTGCCCGGCCTCACCCACTCCTTCCTCGACCCCAACCTACGGCTTACTTTGCAGACACGAAGGTAGCAAGGCCGGAAGTTGTGTGACCACTGGGAGAGGCAGTGGGCCTCATCGATGCAGGCAAAGGCCACTGGCGGGAGCTGGGCAGCCTGGGGGAGAGCGCCGGGGCTTCTGGTCCCAGCCCCAACCAGGGCCTCCGGGGACAACAGCAACACATGCACCTGGGCCGCCTGTACCTGCAGGCAGCAGTCAGGGTGCTGCTTGGTGGCTTGGCGCCTGGGTGGCTGCCCCCTGCCCACGCTGTACACTGTGTGCAAAGCTCTCCTGACCTTCTGCAAGACAGACTCCTGCTGCTTCCTGGTCATTCCTGAGTGGAGGCAGGCTACCTTCAGACAGGGGGGCAAGCCGGACACCTGTAGATACAGTGCTGTCACGGGATAGCCCAGACCTGGTAACCCCTGAATCCCTCCTGGGATGAAGGGTTAGGAGAAACCCCTGGGCCTGAGCTCAGGAATGCTGGGGCTAGGGACCTAGATGGTTGGGTGGGTGCCGGTGGCTCAAACCTGTAATCCTACCTAGCTACTCAGGAAGCTCAGGTCTGAGGATTGTGGTTTGAAGCCTACCCTGGCAGGAAAGCCCATGGGACTCTTATCTCAAATTAGTCACCAAAATAGCCAGAAACGAAGCTGTGTCTGGTTCAAGTGGTAGAGTGCTAGCCTTGAGCACAAAAGCTCAGGGACAGCATCTAGACCCCAAGTTCGAGCCCCAGGACTACTGGCACACAAGAAAAGGAAAGAGGGGCTGGGAAGGTGGCTCAGTGGTAGAGCGCTTGCCTTGCATGCTCAAGGCCCCGGGTTCGATTCCTCAGCATCACATAAGCAAAAAGAAAAAAAGCCGGAAATGGCGCTGTGACTCAAGTGGTAGAGCGCTAGCCTTGAGCTGAAGAGCTGAGGGACAGCGCCCAGGCCCAGAGTTCAGGCCCCACGACCGGACCCAAAAAAAAAAAAAAAAAAAAAAAAGCAAAGGAAAGAAAGGAAGGAAGGGAAGAAGGAAGTTCTCAGTGGGCTCAGGAAACGAGCAGCAGTTCAAAGTTGTCAATGCATTCCATAGGTGCTGAGGGCCTTGTCCACACACCTGGTCGTCCATGAGTGACAGGAGGGGAGAGACCACCAGCGTAACACAGGGACCACGCTGGCCATACAGCAGTGCAGGAAGCTGGTAACACAGGGACTTGCCAGCACCTGTGGGCAGCACCAACAGCGTGGAGATGCCTGGACAAGAGAAAAGGTAGCTGTAAGGCTTAGTTGCTTCCCAGACTACAGCGTTGCTCTGGCCTCCGGCGGCACACTCACCAGACAGGATCCGCATGATTGCTTGCTCCTGCCCAGGGCGGAAGGCTTGGTGCCCTAGCTGCTTCAAGGCCTGGAACACCTCAAGAGGGGTCTCTGTGGACACAGGCGTTGACCATCAGGGCCCTGAGTGTCTCCACCCATCAGTAAAGATCTGGAGCAGTAAGATTCTGCTCACCTGCCACCTGCCCTGAGGGCCCTGGTGGGTAGAGGGGTTGCACTGGGTGGGAAGGGTGGGGGGCCTGGAGCTGGGGCTCAGTAGGTTCTGTGTCCTCACCTGGCAAGGTAGACAAGAAGCTAATGTTACAGTAGCTCAGGGTTGGGCCAAAATCATCTTGGCACAGGAGCTACTGATTAGGAGCACCCCCTTCCCCTCACTCACCAGGGAGGTGGGAGTAAGTGGTGCCTGTCAACTGAGCTGCTTTGTCCAAAGCAGAAGAGGGCTGTACACCATCCTTGTCCTTGCTACCCTCCTTCTGGATGGTGCTTGGACCTGGGGTTAGGAACTGGTTGGACCCTTTGTTCGGAAGAAGTGCCCTTGTGTAGCACAGCACCCTCTCTGCAGTGGTGGTTGACCCTTTCTCAGGGAGGCGGTCTTACCTGGCTGGGGGCAATGGGATGCCCAGTGGCCCAACTTCCCACACTGGAAACAAGAATCCTCAACTGTGGCTCTAAGTCTACCACCCCTAAAACGTTCCCCCTTTTTTTGCCACTTTTGCTTCCGGGCCTGGGGAGTAAACACAGGGAGAACCATTCAGAAACAGTACAACAGAGTGTCGAGGGGAAGACAAACGCTTTCCCACCTTTCCTATCTCACCTGCTTTTGAAGGAGCCTGCCTCGAGGGGTCCTACCCCGCACATAGCGTTTTTGCTTCATGTTGAGACGGACGTAATTACCCCTGTCAAGGCCAGCTGGTCGAGGGGGAGTGTGCATGTGGGCCATGACCTCGGCCTTCTCTGCCCTGACTCCACTTGAGCTGCTGTGCGGCTGCGGTGGATTCACCTCTATCTGTTCTTCTGGAGAGTCTTTCTCAAGTGCTGAAGCCATCGCCACAGCCCCCTCAGGCGCTGTGTGGCTGCCATCCCAATGGCCCTGTGCAGGGCTCCCCCGGTTCTCCTTACTCCACTTCCACTTCTTTTTACTGTTGCTGAGCGGGGAGCTCCCCAAAGCAACCCTAGCTGCCTGTGGGGAAGAAGCCTCTGGGCCCGGGGGAGATGCCTCGGCCTGAGTGTCAGGGCCAAGAATGGTCAAATCACCCGAGGCCACAGAAGGTGATTCCTCTGCACCCAAGCCAGGCCAGCAGGCACTGGGGGCCTCTGGAAAATCAGAGGCCACGTTCTGACACCGCTGCAGCCAGTGGGGGTCTAGAGAGCCCAGACCAAGGCGCCGGGATGCCTGGAGCCGCTGGAGTCGGCCTGGCATTGGGTGGGGTCCAGAAGGCTGGAGAAATACATCACCAATCTCATCTGCATGGGTGGAGGTGGTCTTTGCATCTGGTGGCCTTGGGGTGGGCACCTTGGACAAGGGCCTTTGTGAAGACTGGAATCTTCTGCCCAGGGCTGGCCCAATCTGGGAGGTGGAGGATAAGACAGTAAGCAGGGACTTATGCCCATGAGTTGCTGTGGCAGGAGGCTGGGACAGGAAACTGAAGGCAAGGGTTCCCTGCGCACATCTCAAGAGTACAGACCAGGCAATGTAGGAGACTGCCCATCTGTACATGGATATGGGGAAGGGTGGGCAGAAGGGGCACTTGGTGAACCTGCTCCTGGGCCAAAGGCAGCTCTGTGCCTAACTTGGATGCACTGACCAGGCCACTGCCCCCTGTCACCTGCAGGGTGGTGTCCTTCAGATTGGCCTTGAGCCTCTTCCCATAGTCCTGAACAGATGATGCCCACCGGCTCTGCGCTACAGTAGGCTGTGGACTCTGGGTTGCAGCCCGATTCAGGTGGGACCCCCAGCAGCTGGGCTCTGGTGCCTGCGGGAGACAGCAGCAGTCCACACGGAAGCAAGCCATGGACGCGGATCACCCTGCCCCTTCTTCCCTCAAGTTCTGCCACGATAGAGGCCTGGCTGCGATTGTTTACGGCGTCTGCCACTTGGCCACGTATATAGGAAGCTGCCTGGGGAGCGGGGGTGACGGGGCTGGGTACCTCCTGGGTCACCGCGGGAAGCGCCGGTCCGGAGCTGCGGGCCGCGCGGCAGGCCTGACGCACAGCTTGTTTCAAAGTACGATACTCCCTGTAGAGGTCTGGGTGAGCGACAGCGGGTCAGGGTGCGGCCGAGACTCCTCCGTGCCGCCCGGCCCCGCCGCGCCCGGCCGCGGGCTCACCTCGGGTCTCCTCCGGCGCCGCCTCCACATCATCCTGCGAGAGGAGCGCGTCAGTGGAGGCCCCGGCCCCCCCCGGCCCGGCCCCCGCCTGGCAGGGCCTCACCTGGCAGGGCCGCCGCCCGTGGAGCCGCGCAAACTCCCGCTCCCACGCCTGCAGCCGGCCCCGCACGTCCCGCAGCCGCTCCATCCCGCCAGGGTTCCGCGCTCCACGAGTTTCCCGCCGTGAGAGCGTCCCGGCCGCCAGCCAATGGGAGCGCGAGGAGGGCCGGGACCCGCGACCAATAGCGGGCGTTTGCGTCATCTCCGTGCGCCGCGGTGAGGGGCGGGGCCCGCGGAGGCGGCGGGGCTGGTGAGCGCGGCCGCTCGGTGGGCGCCGCGGCCCGGCCGTGGGGTGCGGACGGGCGGCCCCGGACGCTCTCGGGCAGCCGGGCGCCGGGGAGCGAGGCTGGCGCGTCGGGAGCCCCGGACCGGCCCTGCCCCACGGCGGGCAGGGACGGGGCCGGGTGCCTTCCGCAGCCGCAGCGCGGCCTCGGGGCCGGCGGGCGCCTGGCCCGGAGGCTCAGGCCTGCCCCGGCGCGTTGTGCGGGTCGCGGCGTCGCCCAGCGGAGCTCCCCCCGCGGCCAGGCCGCTGCTCCCGTCTCCTCTCCCGGCAGTGCCCAGCTGATGAGGAGCGCGTCGTCCTCGCCCCGCGGGATCTGTCTGCACGGGACCGGGCGGGGCGGGGCGGGGCCGGGCCGGGCCGTCCCGGGAAGGCACCGCTGGGTGACTTGCCTAAGGCCCCGGGAGGCCGGCCCCGGGCCCCCGCAGCCGGGCCGCTCCTCACCCGTTTCCCCTACAGTGACTTAGGACTTAGTTTTCCAGTCTGTCAGAGGTGGTTGCAGGTGCAGTGCTGAGGGCGAGGCCCAGAAAGCAGCAAGGCTGACCCGCATCTTAGATAAGACTACTTTGGTAGTTACCTCTGTCTTGTCTGAAACTGACTGACAAGGCCAGGGCCCTTCTGAATGAATCGCCTTGATGGTCTCTGTCCACATTGGTTTCTCAGGGAAGAGGTAGGTGGCAAGGACCACAGAAACGCTTTTTTATTTTTGAGTTTTTGTGCCAAGTGAAAATATCTCTGGAGGTAGACTAGATTTCATAGGCTAGGTTCATAGACTCAGGGTTCTGTGGTCATTGTTCCTGTTGGTCCTGGTGCTTACTAAGCCGTGTGTGTTTGATAAAGTTTAAGGGTAGCTCTGGAGCGGATCTGTGAGAAGAGTTAGAAAGGGATTCCTAGCATGGCTGCTGACCTTGCTTGGGGGTTTTCTACCTGTTGTAGTGCTGATGAGAGACTGTGGGAAAAGTGGTGTGGTATTTACTTATTTAGTGCTGGTCCTGGGTCTTGAACTCAGGGCCTGGGCAATGTTCCTGAGCTTTTTTCCTCAAGGCTAGTGCTCAACCACTTGAGCCACAGGTCCATTTCCGTTTTTTTGGTAGTTTGGGGATAAGAGTCTCACAGACTTTCCTGCCCAGGATGGCTTCAAACTACCACCCTTAGATCTCAGCCTTCTGAATAGCTAGGATTATGGGCATGAGCCACCGACACCTGGCTTTTTTTTTTTTTTTTTGCCGGTCATGGGGCCTAAACTCTGGGCCTGGGCGCTGTCCCTCAGCTCTTCAGCTCAAGGCTAATGGTCTACCACTTGAATGACAGCACTACTGGCCTTTTCTGCTTATGTGGTGCTGAGGAATCAAACCCAGGGCCTCATGCATGGGAGGCAAGCACTCTAGCACTGAGCCACCTTCCCAGCCTCTTATTCTACTTTTGAGGAAGGATTTCTGAAGCATATTTGTGATTTTGGAGGCCTGGAGATTCAATTTGGATTCCATAGAGCATCAAAGCCATTTGTCTGAGTCACACATAGGCTGGCATATTATTGATGTACTGTCGTGTACTGCTTGCTTTCTCTAGCAACACGTTTCCTAAGCGTGGCTTTGTCTCCTGTAAAACTGCCCAGCCAAAGTTGTTAGGACTTTAACATGTGTTTTTTTTTGTTTGGTTTTTGGTTCCAAGGACTGAACAGGTCTCATGGTTGGTAGGCAAACAGCTCTGCCATTCGAGCTATGCTCCTTTGTGTCACTATCTTCTATTCATTGCCAACTCCAGGCACTGTGTGGGCTTCCCCACCGCTGATATATGGAGAGGGTATGGCCTGACGGAGGCCTAGGGTTTGTCTTCTGAACTGAAGGTTCCTTTCCTGCAGGTGACGGCCCGCCCTGCGCAGCGCCATGCACACACTTGTATTCCTGTGTACACAGCAGGTGCTTCAGTGTCAGCCAGCTGCCTACCAGGCTCTGCCCCTGCTTCCCAGAGAGCTTTTCCCCTGTTGTTTAAGGTGGCCTTCATGGACAAGAGGACAATTGTGCTGCGTGAGCTGGTGCACACATGGCCCTTCCCACTACTTAGCTTCCAGCAGCTGCTGCAGGAGTGTACCCACTGTAGCCGTGCCCTGCTGCAGGAACAGCCTAGCACAGAGAGCATACAGGCTGTGATCCTGGGGCTGACTGCCCGTCTCCACACTCCAGAAACTGGGGCTGGCACACAACCCCTCTGCAGGTATGGACTTACTTGAGGGGCCCATAGGTAGACCTAGGGGACTAATAAGGCTTCCCTGAAGAGGTTCGAGGCTGTGGTCCTGAGGTTAGCTAGAGTTCCGTGTGGGAACAGGGCTGTTGCTCTTAAAATGGCAGGGAGGGATGTGGGCCCTTGCCCCTTGCCCCTCGTCTTAGGCTATTCCTGCTCCCAGGAAGCATGTCTTGCGGGTTCTGGATATGACTGGCCTCCTGGATGATGGTATGGAACAAGACACTGGTACTATGAGCGTGTGGGACTGCACAGCAGCCGTGGCCCGCACATGTATCGCCCTGCACCAGGGTGGGCCTTCCAAGCCAGGGCTAGTTCCTGTCCCTGTGCAGGTTCGTGTGGACCTTCGTGTGAACTGGGCCTCCTACACATTTCTGCGTGAGGCCCTGCAGAGCAGTGTGAGAAGCGCGCTGCGGCTCTGCTGCCGGGACCTCCAGGCTGAGGACCTGCCCATGCGCAACACTGTAGCCCTGCTGCGCTTCTGGATGCAGGCTGCCTGCGCCATGTAGACATGCGCTTCAGCAATCTGGGCCTGCGTGGCCTGTCTGTCATCATCCCACATGTGGCCCACTTCCAGCAACTGGCTAGCCTTAGATTGCATTATGTACATGTTGACTCAAGACAGCCCTCTGTGGATGGCGAAGACAACTTCCGCTATTTCCTGGCTCAGATGGGCCGCTTTGCCTCTTTGCGGGAGCTCAGCATTGGCTCCTCTCTCCTTTCAGGCAGACTGGACCAGTTGCTCAGGTGTGTGGGCTTTACCACTGCTTTGCCTGTCCCCTCTGTGAGGATCCTTTCCTGGGCATCCCTATCTGACTCTCTGTCCTCTCTGTCTTTGCAGTACCCTACAGAACCCCTTGGAAAACCTGGAGCTGGCCTTCTGTGCTTTGCTGCCTGAAGACTTGCACTTCCTAGCACAGAGTTCCCATGCTACCCACCTGAAGAAGCTGGACCTCAGTGGCAATGACCTGTCAGGCAGCCAGCTGGTGCCCTTTCAGGGTTTGTTGCAGGCAGCAGCAGCCACCTTGCTGCATCTTGAGCTGACTGAATGCCAGTTTGCTGGTGCCCAGCTGCTGGCCACGTTGCCCACCTTGACGTGCTGTGCTAATCTCCACTATCTTGTCTCTGTGGAAACCCACTATCCATGGCAGGCCTCAAGGATCTGCTGCGGGACTCAGTAGTGCAGGCTGAGCTGTGTACTGTGGTGTACCCCTTCCATGTGGACTGCTATGATGGCCTGCCTTGGCCACCACCTGCATCTGTCCTGCTCTAGGCCTCCATCAATGAGGAGAAGTTTGCCCGTGTTGAGGCCGAATTGCAGCAGCTACTGCTGGCCTCAGGCCGTGCGCATGTACTCTGGACCACAGACATCTATGGGTACCTGGCTGCCGATTATTTCAGCCTGTGATCTCCAAGTTCTGGGTGAGACAGGCTAAGAGCCTTTGTTTGCTAGGATTCTGTGGGAGGCCTGATTCAAAGGCACTTGTCTTCGGTTTCCTTCAGGGTCCGCTTTACTTTACGGTCAGAACGTTAAGCCTGCTCTCCTTGCAGTGCCCTGCACCCGCTTCTTAGCTGGTCGACTGTTCCTACTGGCTGGAATTTAGGCCTGCGCTCCCCTATGTATGGCTGCATTTGGCTGTGCTCGGGCGTCCTGTGCCTCTCTGCAGATATGTGGGATCCCAGCTGCGAGTGGACAGGAAGTGGTCTCTGGGCACTTTTAAAGAACTCGGGTTGGTGCTGGGATAGCCCTAAGCCTGCCTGAAGTCTGGGGCCTTGCACTGTGTTCCTTGCGCTGGCAACCCAAGCCATCCTATTGCTGGCTTTGGGGCTAGAAGGTCAAGGTACAAATGTTCAGCGCGTTTGGAACTTCAATCTCTGGCATTTTTCTTTCCCCTCTAGCTGGTCTCGGTGACTTTCCCAGGCGGCGCGGCGCCTTCCTCGTCCCGGGCAGGCGCCCCCCCCCCTCGGCCCCCCAATGAGGCGCGCGCACACGCTCTGCGCTCAGGCACCTTCGGCCTTTACTGGGGTGAAGGGCGGCGCGGCTCAGCAGTGGATCTCGTAGGCGACGCGCGGCGGGAGGCGGAGTCCGGGGGCAGGGCCCTGGGCCAGGCCGGGGTCCGCGGGCGCCTCCGCCGGCCCCGGGGCGAAGAGCGGCTTGGAGCGGTCGATGACGAACATCTCGTGGCCGCGCTCGCCGCGGAGCTCCTCCAGCTGCGCCGACGTGCAGGGCCCGTCCGAGTAGTCGCGGACGAACAGCGCGCCCTCGCCCGGCGGCGCCGCCTTTTTGCGGCGCCGGCGCCGGCGGCGGCAGATCATGGCGGCCAGGAGCAGCGCGGTGAGCGCCAGCAGCGCGATGGCCGCCGCGATGGCCGTCTGCGTGGCCAGGCCCAGCGCGCGGAAGGCCATGCTGCCCGCGTCGAGCCGCGGGGCGCGGCCCGGAGCGCGCGCGGCGGGGCCCGGCGAGGCCCGCGGCGGCTGCGGCCGCTGCCCGGACGCGTTGACCCGGAGCTGGAAGGGCGAGCGCGCCGCGCCGCCCGCGTTCGCGGCCTCGCACTCGTACCTGCCCGCGTGCTCCAGCGTGATGTTGGTGAGGAAGAGCATGCCGCTGCCCGTGTCCCGCGCCGCGGGCGCGCCCGGGCCCGCCGGCCCGCCCTCGAGCTGGGCCCGGGCCTGCGGCCCGCCCTCGCGCGCCCGCGACACCTTCCTCCAGGTCACTAGCGGCTGCGGGTAGCCGGACGCCTGGCAGGCCACGCGCAGGTCCTCCCCCAGGCCGGCCGTGAGCTCCAGCGGCTCTATGTGCACGGTGGGTGGGATGCAGATGAGGCTGCTCCCCGACACGTCCAGCAGACTCTGCGCCGCCAGGCGCGGGGGCTCCGCACACGTGATCTTCTTGTCTCTGGCGCTGAGCAGACGCTGGCCTTCCTCCTTGATCCAAGTGCCCAGCCAGTGGAGGGCGCAGTCACAGCGCCATGGGTTCTCTGTGGGCAGAGCAGCCCGCGCAGCTGAGGCTCTGCTAGCCGGGTCTCACGGCCATTTTCCACAAAGTCTAGGCCTCCTACTTCTTCTCTGACCCCATTGGGGTAGGACATAACCCTCCCTCCTCTCACACACACCTGTCACTTCCTGAGGCCTGTCCTCAAGAAAGCACCTGCACCAACCACCCTCTTCCCCCCGACAATCCCCACTGGGTGAATCTAGGTGACACACATTCCAGCAGCCCTGAGTGAGACCTTGTCTTTATGTGCCCCCTAAGGAAAGTGCTCCCAGTCCTGGCCATCTCCACAGTTTGCCTGCCTCTGATGGCCCCCTAATGCAAGAACTTCAGTTTTGTCACCCCTCAGTGGAGCTGTTTCCATAGGCTCCTGATTTGAGCCCTTACCTACATTCCCATTTGTGCCCATCCAACACCAAGTTTGCAAGTCTTTGCTATGCCCTTTCAAAGGGTTAACTGAAGATCTGCTGTAGGAGCACCCGCTGGACCCAGACCTATGCCCCACTGCCACCACTGGATGAAGCCAGGCTCCTTGCTTGAGGAGGAGTTGCTGGGCACTGGAGGCTCACACCTGTAATCCTAGCTACTGGGGAGGCTGAGATCTGGGGACTGTGGTTCAAAGCCAGCCCCAGCAGGAAAGTCCTTGAGACACATCTCTAATAAAGGACCAGAAAACCAGAAGTGGTGATGTAGCTGAAGGAGTAGAGTACTCGCCTTGAGCTGAAGGTGACAGTGCCCAGGCCCAGAGTTCAAGCCCAATGACCGACAAAAGAAAAAGTAAGAGTTACCTGTAAGGCGCAGAACTTGTAGGCTGGCCAAGGGCTGTAGGGCCTCTCTGCTGATGGTGCCCAGCTGATTCCTGCTGAGGTCTAGCAAGGCAAGAGAAGAGAGTCCAGCCAGAGCCTGGTTCTCCAGCTGTTCAATGCTGTTTTCCTGCAGATGCAGCTCCTGTAGTCGCTGAAGTCGAGACAGTGGATTATCAGCAAAGAGGGTCCCGAGGAACTGGGCAGGGCTGGCTTCTCTCCCTCTAAGTCCTCCAACCCGCATGGTGGTGTGGGTATAGGAAGACCCTGGGGTTTGGGTCGTACGCGCTCACCGGCAGGTGTAAAAAGGTGAAGTCCAGCAGCCTCGCCAGCTGGTTGCCCGCTAGGTAGAGGACTCGCAGTTGGGCTAGGCCCGCAAACGCGCCGCCTCGCAGGCCGCGGAGCCGGTTCCCGGTGAGCGCCAGCTCCCGCAGCCGCGGCTGCGCGCGGAAGGCGCCGGGCTCCAGAGCGCGCAGGCTGTTGTTGTGCAAGTAGAGATGGCGCAGGGCGGAGAGCGGCGCCAGCGCGCCGGGCTCCAGGCGCGCGATGCTGTTGTCCTGGAGGAACAGGGTCTGCGGGCGGGGCGAGGGCGGCTGAGCACCGGGCCGCGGGGGGGGGGGGGGGGGGCCCTCCCCGCCCGCCCAGCCCGGCCGCGCCCCCCGCCCGCAGCGGTGCCCACCTGCGTCCCCGCGGGGATCCCGGGCGGGACGACGCGCAGCCGCAGGGCGCCGCACTCCACCGTGGCGCTGTAGCAGCGGCAGGCGGCAGGACAGACGGCCGCACGGGGCGCGAGGCCGGGCAGCGGCGGCGGCTGCAGCAGCAGCAGACCCAGCAGCAGCGGCGGCGGCAGCGGCGGGGGAGCCGCGGAGACCATCTTGGGCCGGGTGGGATGTGACGCCCTGAAACACAGGCCCCCAGGCCGAGCCAGCGCGGCAGAGGGCCTCGGGCCGGCCTCGACCCCGGCGCCTTGCGCTTGCCCAAGGCCGGCTCTACCACGCGAGTCTGGCCTCAGCTGTTTTGCTGGTCAGAGGCGAGTACTTTGATCCCATGGAACTCAGTCTCCTGCGTGTCGGATTACAGCTGTGCCCAGCGAAGTGCGTCCTTAGCATTCATGCTGTGGCCTCAACTTCGTGGTCCAGCTGTTACTTCAGGGAGGAGGTGGGCAGAACTGGTTTTGTGGAAGCCATGAGTAAGGCATAGCTTGATCTAGCCCATCACTCCTGCTCTTCTGGGCATAGCTTGCCCCGAGCTGGGACTTTTTCTCAAGTAACTGATGGAATTGGAGGATAAGGAAAACAGTGGAAAAGTCAATTCAGAAGCAGTGGGCCCGTGGTCCCCAAGCTATTTCCCAAAAAGAAGCCTCTGCCTTCAGAGCAGATAAGTGGGAACTGGGGTGTTAGGGCCTTGGGCCACTGCTTTGCTGGTGTGTGTGTGTGTGGCCATTTTCCCCTTGCAATCAGCAACTGAATTTCTGAATTTCTAGTTAGCTTAAGTGGAATCTGGGAGCAATGTCCTGAGACCACATAGGAGTAGTATGGGGTAGCTTGTAGTTTACCCACACTTTGGTGATCCTAGGAATGGGAAGGCACCATGAGCCTTTTTTTTTTTTTTTGGGTCCGGTTGTGGGGCCTGAACTCTGGGCCTGGGAGCTGTCCCTCAGCTCTTCAGCTCAAGGCTAGCGCTCTACCACTTGAGCCACAGAGCCACTTCCGGCTTTTTTCTTTTTTGCTTACGTGGTGCTGAGGAGTCGAACCCAGGGCCTCAGGCATGCAAGGCAAGCGCTCTACCACTGAGCCAACTTCCCAGCCCCCCATGAGCCTTTTTTTTTTTGTGTGTGTGTGTGTGCTGGGGCATGAATCCAGGGTCTGGGAGCTGTCCCTGTGCTTTTTTATTCAAGGCTAGCACTCTACCACTTGAGTCCCAGCTCCACTTTTGGCTTTTTAGTGGTTACTTGGAGATAAGAGTCTCACTTTCCTGACTGTCTTTGAGCCAGGTCTCACATCTCAGCTTCCCTAGTAGCTAGGATTACAGGTGTGAACCACCAATGCCTGGTTCAATTAGCACATTTTTTTTGGGGGGGGGGGGGGGCGGTCATGGGGCCTGAACTCTGGGCCTGAACGCTGTCTCAGCTCTTCAGCTCAAGGCTAGCGCTCTACCACTTGAGCCACAGCGCCACTTCTGGCTTTTTTCTTTTTGCTTATGTGGTGCTGAGGAATTGAACCCAGGGCTTCATGCGTGCAAGGCAAGCGCTCTACCACTGAGCCACCGTCCCAGCTCCATGAGCACAATTTTAAAGAAAGTTTAGGGCAGAGAAGCCAGTTTGCCTGGACTGGGGAGACAGGGCTGAGGGTATACTTGGTCCCTAGCCTGCAGACTCTCGTGGCACGTTCTCTACTCTGCCTGTTTATTCACTAGGTTTTCCGGCCCTGAGCCAAGTTGAAAGATACCAAGTGGCCTTACAGTTTGTTTCAATCTGATCCTAAGATGCAACTCACATGGTTATTAAAGTCACTTTGAGATGAGGTAATACCGCAATAAAGTTTTAATAGAATAGCTTTGGCCAAGGCTGAGGCATTTCCCAGGTGTCTCAAAATGTGCGTGAGCCCCCAAAAGATGGGGGCATTCAATGGGTCCCTGCGGTTAATTACATGAGCAGGATGAACTGGCCCAGGGCTGTAGGCCTTGCCCACCCACCCAAACTAGACCGCAAATCCTTTCCCCCTCAGGGCTGCTGCTCACAGGGACCCTCAGGCGCACATCAGGGGCTGGCGCAGAAATCCTCTAAGGGTCCTGCTGGGCGGGAGTGGGAAGGGGGAGGCTGGGCCACGGGTGCCCATCTGTGCTGTGGGAGCCCTGTGTCGTTCTTCAGGCACAGCGCAGGCCTCCGGCCAAGTCTCCGGGCAGCCCTAGGACTCGGTGCCCACGTCCCGCACACCGCCCCGCCCGCCCCTCGGGCGCCGCTGGGTCCCGGGTAGGGGTACGGTCTCCACGCCCCCTCCCTCCGCCAGGCCCTGCGGGGCACCCCCACCTCCCCAGGCCGATGACCTTGGGCCGCGCGCCCCCTCACCTGACGCCCCGGCGGCGAGCCGCTCCCCGCTGGGCCCGCGGCGGCCAGGCCTGAGCCGCGGCTGTGTTGGGGGCGGGCGCGCACGCGCGCCGGAGCTCCGCGCAGCCTGCGCCCGCGGCCCGGGCCTGACGTCGCCAGCGCGGGCCAATCCCGAGGACACCCCGCGGTCTGCGGCGCGAGGGGTGCGGAGAGGACCCGCGGCTGGGACCAGGGGCCAGGGCCGGGCCGCGGCAGCACCTCGGACAGCGCAGGCCGGGCGGGGCCTCGGCGCGCACGCGCGCTGGGCCGGCGAGCGGGGGGCGGGGGCTCCCGCCCGAGCCTCAGGGCTGCGGGGGTCGCGAGCAGCAGCGGCGCCAGGTCCATGGTGAGGGCGAAGCGGCGGCCTCGCCAGCGCACGTACGCGGGCAGCGCCGGGGCGCCGGGCTCGCACTCGAAGCAAGCGCTGAGCTCGAACGCCAGAGCCGAGCGCACCAGGCCCACGCCGCCCGCGCGCTCCGGGGCCGGGTGGTACAGGCGCCCGTTGGCCGCCAGGGGCAGCAGGCGCGCCGGCTCGAAGGGCACGGTCAGGGCCGCGCCGCCGCCGCAGTAGGAGAGGCGCGGGGGCCCGGGGTCCGCGGCCAGCAGGTGCGTGAAGACCACGGGCCGGTCCTCACAGCGCAGGAAGTTGCGCTCTCTTCCGCACGGCGAGAGGAAGGGGAAGGCGGCCTCGTAGCGCCCGCTGCGGTTGGGCCTCAGGCGGGAGAAGAAAGTGACCAGGAACTGCGGGTCTAGGGGAGCAAAGCGCGCGGCTGTGCACCCGGCTGTGCGCCCCGGGGTCCCGCGAGCCCCTCGGGGCCGCCCCGAGCGGCCAGACGCGGGCCGGGGGCAGCGCAGCGGTACCTTTGAAGCAGGTGATGAAATTCTTCATTCTGGAATCATCCAGGAAAAGCTGTGGGGGCGCAGGCGGGGGACAGTGAGTCCCTCGGGCAGTGCGGGGGCCGCGTGTAAACTTAGGGCTCTGCCCCTGCAGGGAACGGACACCCGCACCGCCGAGGGCGCGGAGCCGCGGGGCTGGGACCGACGGGCCGGGCCTCCCCGCCACCCCGGGGCCCTCGCCCGCTCCGCAGGGCCTGCCGGCCCCCAGCCCACCTGGCCCTGGTGGTCCACGTAGTAGAAGTACTCGCGGGTCCGGGGCTCGGGGCTCTGGCCCTGCGTGTAGGTGGCGCCTCCACCTCCGCCGTAGGCCCGACCTCCCCTCAACCCCACCAAGGCCCAGGCCGGAGCCCGGGCCCGGAGCGCAGCGCACGCCGGCCACATCCTCCCTCGCCGGAAGCGGCCGCGGTCACCCGGGCGGGGCGCTGCGCGCGCCCCCGCCCCGCCCCGCCCCGCCCCGCCCCGCCGCGCCGCGCTCCGGGCCGCGCGCGCACGCGTGGGAAGCCGAAGCGGCGCGGCCGCAGGGTCGCAGGACTTCATTGGGCCGCAGCCCCGCCCCCGCCCCGCCCCCGCCGCGCGCGCACGCGTGGGAAGCCGAGGCGGCGCGGCCGCGGGGTCGCAGGACTTCATTGGGCCGCAGCCCCGCCCCGCCCCGCCCCCGCCGCGCGCGCACGCGTGGGAAGCCGAGGCGGCGCCGCCGCAGGGTCGCAGGACTTCATTGGGCCGCAGCCCCGCCCCCGCCCCGCCCCCGCCGCGTTCCGGGCCGCGCGCGCACGCGTGGGAAGCCGAGGCGGCGCCGCCGCAGGGTCGCAGGACTTCATTGGGCCGCAGCCCCGCCGCCGGCCGCGCCCATCCCCCCCCCCCCCCCCCCCGCATTGGTTTTTAATAAATAAAAACTCTAAAAATAGCTATCTATAAAAACGGAGGAAGCTCGACAGCTGCGGGCTCGGCGGGAAAGCGAGCGAGCGAGGCGGTCTGGTCCAGTCCTCTGTTTATAGCTCTGTACACAGGCGCGGGCGCCGGGCCTGGCCGCGGGCACACCGGGAGACGCCCGCCCCGCCCCGCCCCGCCCCGCCCCGCCGCCGCCGCGCCCGGGCCCCAGCTTTGGTGCGGGGCTTCCCGCACACGGAGCCACGGGCCCTGGGCCAGCGGGGCCGCGCTCCGGTGGTGGGCCGCCCGGGCGGCATGACGTGTGCTTCGGCCACTGCGGGCAGTGTGGCTCGGCTCTGGGGAACGAAGGCACTTCTCAGGGCTGGCCTGCGGCCGGCGGGAAGAGCCGGTGCCCGCTGAGCCGGCCGCGGTGGAGCGCGGCGGCGCGGCCCGGCGGGAAGAGCCGGCGCCCGCTGAGCCGGCCGCGGTGGAGCGCGGCGGCGCGGCCCGGCGCCTCGGCATGCTGCCCCGCGGGGCCTTCCTCCCCCCCTCCCGCGCGCTGCCCTCCCGAGTCCCGCCTCGTGCTATAGCACGCCCTCCATGAAGCTGGTGTCCAGGTGCTGGATGAGCACGCGCAGGAAGGACATCTCCTTGCGAGTGTTCTCGAAGATGATGCGAGGGTCATCCGACTGGCAGCGCAGGCAGTTGGGTGCCATCACCATGGCCAGGTTGCTGACGTCCATCTTGGTGATGGCCACATTGGCGGGCTGCACGAACACCTGTGTGGGGCGGAGACGAGCAGGGAATGGGGTGGGTGCTGGCCGGACCCAGGGTGGGCGCGGGCGCCGTGCCCCGCGGGCTGCCTACCTGGAGGAAGCGGATGAGGTAGCACAGCACCATGCGGTTGATGCGCGGCAGCGCGTGCACCACGGCCACCGCGGCCTCCGGACTCTCGTAGTGCGCGATGCACTGGTCGTAGAACTCGTGCGGAATCAGGGGCTCCTCCAGCTCCCTGTACCACAGCTTCAGCAACGATGCTGCGGACAGGCGACGCTCAGTGAGTCTGCCCTGGAGAACCTCTGTGCAGAACAGCACTGGGGGGGCGGGGAGGGCTAGGCCATCTGGAAAAGGGGCCCCCTGACCCAGCCCAGACCCCAGGGGTGCTTAGGGCTCAACTGCCTGGAGCATGGAGGAGTGGCTATGAGTCTCTTGGTGCAGCAGCTGCAGAAACCCATCTGGACGGCCCAGGCAGAGCCGAGGCTGGCTAGGTTGAACTAGGATGCCCCCAAGGACACTGAGGGAGACAGTCCACTGCGTGGCAGGCTATCTGGCAGTGACTAGAGATCCCATCAGTGGTGGAGGGTGGGCAGGCTGAGAAGAGGTTGTGGGTAATAGCTCAAGAGATGTGGGGAGACAGAGGCCTTGGCCTGGATGTCTGTGGAGTGGGTTGGGGGCTCACCGGGGACATGGGGATCCTCCAGGCCTGTAGGTACCTTCCACTGATCCACCTGCAGCTTCAGAGCATTTACCTCATCAATGTCTCCAGGAACCCTGGGGAGCACAAGGCAGGCGCAGACAGGTCAATTTGCCAATGCAGATGGGGTACAGAGCCATAAGGCTCTCCCCCTTCAACTACCCATCTCCCATGTGCTTGTTAGTGGTATGGATTTCCTCAGGCCACTGGCTCTTCCTAGACCATCTTACAGTGGCTGAACACTGAGTAGGCAAAACGTATTACCACCAGGGCAGGAGCTGTCATGTTCCTGGTTCAGAGCTTGGCAAATCAAGGGGTCAGGGGGAAGCTGAGCTGCCTGACAAGCCGCCTCAGGCTCATGTTGTAGGCACTGACTGCTGCTGTTGTGGGGATTTCTCAGCACACTTGCTTCCTAAGTTATGGGGCCCAGCCCTGCCTCTTGGCCACATGGCATCAGGATCAGCTTCCATAAAGTGCCAGCTCAGAGGCAGGCATGGCAGCCGGTCCCAGGGGCCTGAGGCTTAATGGTCTGCCACCAGATGCACAATAAACACACTTGTGGCCCACACCCCCAGGGTCTAGATTTGGCGCAGCACCTGAATATGCCCTCCGTCTGGTCACCATTCAGCGCTAACACTTCCTCGGAGAGCCGAGTCTGTACCCAGGGCAGCTGTCGGTCAGGGTAGCGCTCCTTCTGCATACTCATGACTTCCTGTAGTGCACTACCGAACATTGATGGGCTGAACACGGCGTTCTTGGCATGACGGATCTCCTCCACATTGGGCTTCTTCAGCCCCTGTGAAGACAGGCCAGATCTCCCATCCTGGTCTGGCCCGGTCACTTTCCTTCCATTCACCACCCCCTCCTCCACGCTTCTGGCAGGGCTATTCAGCTCAGCTACCCTTTCCTCCCTAAATCTAGGCTTTTGCCTTACAAGAGGCAGGGCAGCCCAGATCCTTGGCTCAGGTCACCACCGGGGCTTCCCTGTGGCCATCTCTAATGTCCAAAGCATCAAACAATCCTGCTGGTTAAGAAGGGAGGAGGCGGCCAGGCTCTGGGGCAGGTACAGGGGGTCCAAAGAGGTCCTGGGTAAGGATGGGCTGCAGTGATGCATGATGTGACTGGATCCTAGATGTCTTTTAGGGGAGAGAAAGGAGCTGGAGGGGCCTTGACAGGATAAGGCAAGACTAGATGTAGGAAAGAAGAGCTAACAGCAGGGCCTGGACTGGCTCATACAGTCTGTGGGTAGGTGGTGTGCTTCAACACGGGCCCGTTCTACAGCCCACAGCCACCAGGGGCAAAGGTCCTGTCACAGGGGGGGGTCTCTTGGCCTACTGTGGCTGTGCATAGCCCTGCATCTTGCAACAGAGGCCAGGGTTTTCAGGGAGTCCGTGCAGCCATGGTGCTGTTCAGCCTGGGCTCTCGTGCCATATACCACTCTGGTAGCTTGCCTGACGTCTTCAACAGCCTATGATTTCTCTGAATTGCTCAACTGGGGGTCCATGAAAATGAGCCCCTGAGGGAAAGGCAGGAAAGTACACGTTCTGAGGCCTTTTGGCTACCACCGAGGCAAGCTGTGTGCAGTACCCACGGCTCTGCCAGCCACTGAGGCAAGCTGTGTGCAGTACCCACAGCTCTGCCAGCCAGCACACGAGCCTTGCTGCCTCCTCACTAGACATCTGCTGTGCTTGGAAGTTGCCCGCCCTGCCCTGGTTCTCCCAAAGTGCCTGTACCTTCTTGGCCCCTGTCAGAGCCGCCTTCTGCAGCTTGTGGTAGCAGTACTTGGCGTAGGTGCTTATCGCTACCCCTGGAAAAGAATAAGCACTCGTCAACCTGGTGTGTATGTGTGGGCTATAGGAGAGGAGTGGTCCCTACAGGGGCCCTAGGGTACAGCCAATCTGGCTAGGCTCCCAACCACCCCTTACCAGGACAGCAGCCTTAAACTTTCTCCCAGGCAATGTCCTGTTATAGCAGAGACCCAAATGGAGAGATTCAGGGAGGCACTTCCCCATATCCAGGGGTCAGGCTGGGAGAGTTCATCTGCCAGCTCACCCAGCATATGAACGGGAGACAAAGCCCTTCCCGTAACAGACCAGAGGCAGACTAGGGCATGTCCTGAGGCCTAGAGTCCCCAAGCCCACTCTTCCCTTCCCTGGCCGGCCCTAGGGAACCTCCCTGGCCAGTGCTGGGATAGGTGAAAAGCTAGCAGGATGGCAGTTCCAGCTCCTCTGGCTGGTCCAGGGCTGACTGAGCATGGAAGTGGTGCTGAGTGTCAGAGCAATAGGGAAGCGGCCTGAGGCCTCACCACAGAAGGGACAGTGTCCCAAACCAGCACCCTCTCAGTGGGAAGCCCAGGCAGCAGAAGGTGCTCAGGGCTTATTCTGATACTTGAGTCCAGCTTCCTCTCGTAACAGAGGGGCTTTCTGGCCCCAACAGCAGAGGTTCTAGCTGGTAGACTAGAGAAAGGTAGGTGGAAGAAAGACCAGGGTACAGTGTAAAGGGAAGATGGTTCCTCCCCAGAGAGCTGGGGTGTGTGTAGTGTCTGCCTGGTCCCAGCAGGAACAGCAAGGGGCAGATGTCAAGACGTACCAGCCTGGATGGGACACCCCCTCTGGAAGGTGCTGTCCCTCAAGTCCCTGTAGCTGCCACCTGATGCGGTAGTCTTCTAGATCTGGGCTCTCAAGTGGAAATACCTTTGCTTTTGGAAGGAAGTCTTTTAATTTTTTATTTTTCTCAGATATCTGAGGATTCAGGGGTCCTTGGGTCCCAGTTTGTAAAAACAAGTCTGTCTTAGTCTATGAAAACATTTTTATTTTTACCTATCATAAAATAGTTTTGCCATTCACAATTTCTGTGAAGGGAAATATTTAGTCAAAGTGAAAAAGGCAAAAAATTTATCAGCTATTCAAGTCCTGGACCACCCTCCTCAGTCCCATGGGGACCATAACCCTTGGTTCTAGCCTCAGCTAATTTTCAACAGTGCTAGAACCATCTACCGCAGGCCACCTAGCTTTTCTAGGTAGCTGAGGCTCCTTTAAGAGCCTGGACAGTGTGTAAGCAGCAGAGCCG